GTAACTATTGCTGGTTCAGATAAATGTTTTAGTACAATATTATTTATATTGCGTCCTGGTAATTTTTTGAGTGGCAATATATTAATTTCTTTTTAATTTCAGAGGGTGATGAATTTTTGGTGTGATCCATATTCTTGTTCTAATGCTGATTTGGTAATAATGATGAGTTCGGGATGAAAATTAGTGTTGTTGACAGAGAAAGTGGAAGCGAAATAGTTCCATAGTTCTTCTGATTTTTGGATGTGTAAGCTTTATCTGTTGTTGAGTTTATAGGAGGTATAGTATTTTGCTTGTGAATTGCCACACAATGTTATTTGCGCTGAGTAATTGGATTAACTTATGGTAGTGTTGGTTATTGAAATTAGTTGTCTTTTTACGATATTTGTTATTAGGTATGGTTTTCTTTAGTTCAGGTGACCTTAATCGGAACCAAAGTCTTCTGGTTTAATTTTTTTAATGCAATTGCTTTTAATAATTTTTGGGGTAATAATTCGTCTGGTTTTGTTTGAGTTGGGAGGAGTGGTTAATTGTATAGTTTTTAGAGTGAATTGTATTAATTCGTTGAAATGAGAGATAGATTCATCTATTTCCAACGAAGCTTTTAATATTTTTTATTTTGGGTTATCCATTTATTAATTTTTCTTGAAAGTTGTGCCAATTAATTTTAAGCGAGTTTGGTTTAGGAGCGGGGGCATGAAGCGGTATAAGCTGGTGTCTAGTAATAATTACCAGAATATGATCAGAGTTGAGTTCAAAAGTAGGTGTAGAGGAAAAATCTAACATTAGTATTTGTGATGCTTATGTCAAGGATGGCCTGTTCCCAAGTGCGTTTGTGAGGATGGTATGTTGGTTCCGTGGGGGTGAGTATTCTTAGGTTTGAAATGTTTATTAGTTGAGCAAGTACGTTTCCATTATGATAATTAGTTTGTCATCCCCTGCTTGAAGTGTTTTAAATTGTCATCCAACAGCAAGGTTTTCTCGGTAAGGTGAAATTAATTAGGAAATTTGCATTTAGAATTTTGGCTGTGGAGGCACGTAAGCTGTTATTTTCCCTATTTGGTTATTTATACATATTTGGATCGCGACTATTTCGATGCCTGGTGTGTCGGGTAGGTATATTTGGTGGCGATTGAGACACGTTTGACCGCTGTAAGTACCCCACCTCCTTTATTTTCGGTCTATCTGATCTATAAATGTTGTAACCTGAGATAGTTCTTTTATCGAGGTGTGTTTCAATGATACAAGCCTACGACAATTTTATGATGATGCATGAAATGAAAAAGTTATTTTTTATTAGTGGTGTTATTAGAATTCAAATTCTTGGAGGATATATTATAATGGGGTTAAGTTGGCATTATTATTGCTTAGATATGCGGTGAATGAATTTTGCTTTCGGCGGCCATCACAGAAATTCGGTTGTAGTCTTTTAGTAGTCTTGTGACTTTGGTAATTGATGTGTGGCGCTGTTTTAAATCTCCAAAGATTTATGGTTCCATAATTGATTGATATGTTTTTAAAAACAACTGAATATTTTTATTAGATGGATCTTTCTTTATACGAGAGAAAACTTCTGCGTGTTTGTATTAAATATTTAACTATGCTACGAAAGTCTGTGGCTGTGATAGGACAGATTTTCACATTATTTTTTTTATGTCTACAATGAAATTTTTGTAACATTTTTAGTTCCTGGATTAAATTATTAACTTGATCAAGGTGGGCAACAAATATTGGAGGGATTCTATTTGATACACTTGTTTGATATTGTTGGTGATATTTTCCATACTTGAGCCTTGTGTCCTCTGGCATGGGGTTTAAACTAGCAAGCACTCCAAATCCGTTTTGTACAGGCACGTTATAATATAAGTCACTATCATGTGCAGATGGATCACTGTAATTGCTGGATTACGCACATTTTTATTATGAAATTAAAGTTCACCGACTGACCTTTTCCTGTTCACCGCACCTGGAGGTTGCTGCACCATGTTGAGTAAAGCTCCGGTCGACTGAGTAGCCTTCGAGCTTCCTTCAAGGCTGGTCAGGGACGAGGCCGAGCCGAGTCGCACTTCCGTAGCTCTTCCTGGTTTGGGAATTTGCGGCGTCGAAATTTCGTCACTGTCAAGGTGTTGATGCCACTGTTATGGAGAGTTATCAGGACTTGACTAATAGCATGCCCTGATGATGAATTTGAGTCCCATAACATAGACTGGTCACACGTTTGCGTGGAACGCTCACTGCGAGCACCAGCCTTTGTTATTACGCACTGCTGGAACACTAATACTAGATTCAAGTTCACAGGTAGACAAACCATTTGAGATTGAGCGCAAGCAAGGTAAGCGCAGCGGAGCTAGTACTAGTACGTCCGCACACCACCGCTTCTGATCGACGAATGCGTAAGCAGTAGCGAGAAAGTAAAAATATTTTGTAAAAAACGCCCCAATCCACCCCCCGAATAGAACACGGGACGCTTAAGAGAATGGCGCATGGCTCATTTTTCGTCGGTCTGTTGTCATTTTCGAAACATGCAAATTCACAAATAATGCAAGAAAGTATGTGCTGTTGTAGCACCTAGTTTTTTCTTGATTGAAAAGGCCAACAAAACAAACTTTGTATGCAAATTTTGAAGTGCGCTTCAAACAAGGTTCAGGTGCCCGTCATAAGTTGAATGAGTTCAGATTCATCGAGCTTTGTATATCGATGCTTATTATATAACAGGATGACTAGCGATTCATAGAGTTTGTTATAACTGGGTGACTAGCGATCTAGCTTTTTGGACTTCAAGGCTTTTTCCCGGAGCTCTGAGAATATAAATTTTCCAGGTTCTGTTTCGCACATTACAACACATTTTTTTCTTAACCGTACTATGTTACGCACTTTTCTTTCGCAACCGAGAACTAGAGTATAAAATTGTTTACAAAAACTAGCGTTAAAGAAAACTCATATTTTTTCTAGGAAGCATGTTACCAATTAATATTCAGAGTTCTAAAATGCTTAAAAAATAATTTTTCAGCCGGAATGTCGATATCGGAGCTGATGCCTTCGTTCCAATCGTTTGAAATACCATATTTCTTAGATCGGTTTCGTAAAATGTCGGCCCTACCGTGAATAACATTTTCAACACGCAAATAGGAATTTGTTAAGAGGATAACTGCACATGTAATGACATACCTACCACAAAAGTGCCGTTAATAACACTGAAGATTTTCCTTTTTAATAATTCTTTTGAATTTTCGGAATGAATATATCTTCATATGAGCTTGAAACATCCCAGATATATTAATGTTTGGAATTTTGATGATAATATAATCAATTTTTCAGATTAAAACAATTTTAAAGTTACTCGGTAATAGTATTTAGCAACATAATAGTTTTCTCGCCGATTTAAATTGTTTGGAGATTTCCGCATTTGTTTCAAAATTAATTTTTTGCCTAACAATTCCAATGTATAGATAACACTTAATCATCTGATTTTATCTGTTTTAACTACGTTTGATTTTTAAAATATTAAAATGTTTTCGAGCTTTCCGATCTGTTTCCAATAATTGAATCTACAGATAAGAGGATGAGATCCATTGAATAAAATAAATAAACTATGTTTAAACAGTTTTTTCATTTGTTAATTGTAAGCATTAACATAGTTACATGTGACAAGAATAAACAAGAAAAAATATTAATTGATTTTTCATACGCTCGTTTAACGTCATATTTACGATTCACCAAGATAGTATCGCTTAACAATTATCAAAATATCTCTTAAATTTTGACCGACCGGTACACCTTACCATCAACGACTTATTAAACTGTTGAGAGGTTAGAGTGCATCAAACACGTACACTATTTTGTTGACTTATTTTATTCTTTTGCTGTTCTAATGGCTCATATGTGATATACACGCATTTTCCTTGAGTTCTAGAATGTTTACCCTCACTTATTTACTAATATTAGGTGAATTATGAATAAGTGATAGCAACAAACGTTAACAAAATCTGATAACCAGAAATGTTCGCTCCTGTACCATAGACACTATTTTGCATCGAAAAACGAACTACAAAGATTTGATATTAAAGTCCTGTCAAAATAACCAACCCCCACAACCCTCGCATCTAGCAATATGAGGGCTCAAGAAAAAGGCTTCAAGCATTCTTTACAATTATGTTTTTTCATAATGTATTAAACCAAAATTTAGGAATAGATTAGTAAGAAAAGTGTTCTAACGAAGTTAATAACGAAAGAAAATTACATAATGGGTGCGCGGGACGGAATCCAGCGCGTGAGTTGGCCTACTTGTGCTACAAATGGCCGCGAGTGACAATACGTAACAAGGGAGATAATTTTGAAGCTTAACTTCTGAGACTGGGTTTGTTTTTTTTAAATGAGTCCAGAGCAAGCAATTTTTCAAACAAACAAAAAATCATTTTCATGACTTCCGAACGATGCTCAGTTCGTAACCAGATGCAAAATATCCAAAATAGTATTCCGAAAGACTTCAGAAAAAATAAACACGCGTCTGGAATACCCTTCAAAAAGCAATAAGCCTGTAAAACCCACGCAACATACCCCTGGGATACAATTTCAGACGAGAGACTCTTCTTTGACGAATGCTGAAATTCATAAGAAACTACTACTGCCGTTAATAAGGACGCAGATGAATGAAGACATTTCAGATAAGTCTGCAGCCTTGAAGGATCGAAGGTTCGATTTAGTGTACAAGAAATAAGCAATTCCAGTTATTAAGATAAGCGTGTAAATTTCCCTCTTGGCTACTCACCTCACATCACAGCAGAGAGCCGCCTCTAGCACACGCCAATGAACAGGTGCATGTTTTGTCGGCGGAGCCTCTCCGCGCTCTGATACCACGTTCTCTTCACGAATTATACATTGCGTTAAGTTGTTGGTGTTAGATTTTCACAATTAACCTTTTAAAAATATCAACTGATAACCCATGTAGTAAAGGATCTCACAGTAAGTGTGATGTACGCGTTTGTCAATAATTAAAGCCCTTCTTATTTTCATTCATTTACTAAAAGCTTTCGTGTACAATGAAGCCCAAAGTTACAATGTAACAGATTATACTACAAAACAAATGTCAGGTACACACAACAGTTCATTGCTAACAAACTAGACACTCTGATAATTTAGTAAGGAATCAACACACTTGACAAGGAACTCGTCACAGCATACCCAAATACAACAAACAATGAAAATACGATACATATTGCCAAGAGAAAAGTGGGCAAGTTGTTCGAAATAATCGTGAAAGTTTGTGATGTGCTTCTAAAAGTACTAGCCTAAAGGAACACAATTTTACAAAAATATTGTTTATTTTATTTCCAGGAGTCTCAGGTACTTTTAATTACTAAGGTCTGCATCATTCAACAATTGCTGAAAAGTGTGTTGCACAGGCCAATGTAGTGCAACATATACATTTAAATGACCTACAGAATTTCTATGTATAAAAATCCTTCCTCTTTGTTGTAATTCTTGTTTCCCCTCATAAATTGAACAATTTCTTTTACATTATTAAACAAAATTGTTTACCAAATACTCAAAATTCAATTCTGCCAAATAAAGTATTCCAGAAGAATATTCGAAGTAATTGCACTGTTTTTTGATCAAATGCACTCAATTATGTAATTCTCCACATACATAGAAAAAGTCCAAGGAATACTAAAGAGAAATTTCTCAAAAATGGAACAAATTTGAAATACAGAAGAAAAATGTTCAACAAACAGTTCTTTTCAGTTTACCAGGATCCTTACATCACCTATTGAAGCTGAAGGATGTCATTCAAAATAGTTTCCAAAATGTATAGGCTATATTGACTGTATTTGAGATTTCATCCTCTTCGTAATTGACATCCCTGAGGATTTTTTCACACACTCATTGTCTTATTCTCACCTATTTAACTTCAGAAATACAAACTTTCCCTAGAGTTTAGTCTATCAAAACAGGATTTTTGAAAACAATACTATGTTAAATTCACCCTCGATAACCCTGTAACTTGCAGAAAAATGTTTACAGTTATAGCCTTAGAAAATGCATCAACTTTTAAACATCTTGCATTCAAATGCTAACTCAGCAAAACAAGTGAAGCTCAGAAGATACATTAATATTACATACATTCAAATCTCCAATTATTGAGCAATTTTACCTTGCAACAAAAGTAATATGGTTTGATCATAAAACATTTCTACTGAACATCAAACATGAACAAGCAAATTGTACCATTTACAATTACATCAATATTTTGAAGCAACAATCAATAACAAATTCAGTGGATTTAAACAATTTACTTCCTTGTAAACAGTAAAGCACACATTTACGACATTTTCTCAACTCCATAGACACATATAATAACTAATGTTAAGGAATGATTCACATGTATCAAATGAACAAATAAATGCACCTACAAAACTGATAGAAAAATATTTTGTAAATTTTATATCATTTTGGTAACCATTTGATAACCAAACAAATAAAAATTACCAAAATGTTTAAGAATTGTACTCTCATTTCATTTGTTTTGCACTATTTCACAATAAATTACTTATATGTAATTTCAATGGAACTATTCTCCATGTGTAAGCAAAACATTTGAAGAAGTAAAACAAACCAAGAGGTAGTCAACATGATTTGAAAGTAAATCATTCATATAGTTCATTTAAAGAATACATTATTAATGCTGAAAAAACAACTATTATACAACATTACAGAATATAAATCTCAAAATATAATTCATTCATAACAAGATGTCAGTCTTGCAAATATATCCTCTTTTTGTACAATCTCAACACAAGGAATCATAAATACTTTTTAAATTATGCATCAAGAACATACATTTTCTTTCAATAAGAGACTTTACTACTGTTGCATATGAGATACAAAGAACAATATTACAATACAAGTGGATTTTCTTCCAGTACTGAGAGGAAAGAGCAATAATAGCACTTCTCTGTCACAATACTGATTATATCCAATGTCTTTGCATTTTTAGGAACAATAAAACTATAGACTTCACAATTCAATGTAATACTACCAATCACATTCAAGTAAAATCAAACATACTGTAAATGAAACAATACCTCAATTTGAAACAATGAGTAAATATTATCCCCAGCAATGAAATAAGTACAAAGTTATTATGTAAAATGAATAAAAATGATCGCTCTCATGACAAGAATGATGCATTGCAGAATAATATAGTATTTTCTCAACAGACTAGAACAAACAATTAGATAGGTACAACAAATTTACAATGAACTTACTGAGCAATACATTAAAACACAATATATGAATAAACTAAAATGTACAATAGCAATAAAACACTGTTACTGTTAAAAATTATTTACATCACAGTTGCACAAAGTTAAAATATTTTGTTTTTTGTATGGAGTACACATCACAAATCATATCAAATTCACTGAAAGAGGTGTAGACTATTACGTAAACCCTTATTTAATAGAAAGTAGTCTTCATAGCAATGATAAAATAAATAAGAGATGTACGCAACATCTACATCTCTTTTAGAAAATGATAAGGTAATTTACATTCTGAATATTCAAAAGATAAGTTTATATCTTTTGAATACTGAGCTTAACTTGTGGCATAAGAAATGGATAAAACATACTATTAAGGTAACAGCAAATATTTTAAAACTAAATATTAAACCTGTAATTATTCATGGACACTAAATTACACAGTTCCTCATTGAAATATATAACATACTGGAAAATTGACTTACATAATAGAAAATATATAATGCAAACAATACAACCTTAAAATAAAAAATACACTTATTTTTAAAGCTGTCATTATTCTCAAAAGTTATTATTCCAAGTTCAAAGCATCTTTAACAAGGTAGAAACACACACATTTTATATTTTTGCATTTACGGTAACAAGCACAAATAAAGACCAAATAGTTTTTAACAGAGTAAAAAGACATTCAACTCAACATGAAAAACATTATTTGAAAATTCTAAAAAAGAATTTATACAACTATCAATACACTAACTCAAAATAATTGGTCCAAAATAGATTATACCTAAACTTAATCTTTTTGGTGAAGATATTTTCCATCACTTACAATATTGTTACTGTAAAACATACTAAAACACACCAGTTCTACAAGATTGAATAAGTATTTAATTAAAACTTACTCTTTATATGAATAGTTCAAAACAAACCTCTGACAATATAAATACACAGAATAATGGATTTACCACAAATAGCAATTATAGGTTCATAATTATACAAAAATATCTCTTTATAAAACATTGTACAATGATTAACAAGATTTCAGATACAAAAGTCATGATTCTAGCACCATGTCTCTAAAAGACCACACATCATTCATAATCAATCTTGTGAAATACACAGTACACTTCAAGAACATTCATCTTCTGACATTCTAAAATCCCGTGCATACACATATTTCATCAGTAAAATTAATAAATTGCCATACACTTAAGTATTAGAATGGCAGTGCAAAGTTTGAACATATACTCAATTGCATATATGTTTAGTGAGCAGTTCTTGAAAATAACTATAAAAAGGAAAAACAGAAATGTCACATGGACGGACCACCAAGTGCTAAAACAATACTTAATTACCAATTCTTGTGCTGGTTGAAGCATTTCTGGTGATGACAACTTTCAGAAGTCCTGGATTCACTTCCTCGTGGCTGAAAACAAAGTTCATTTCAATATATTTTTTATCACAAATAAACTAAGGCAATTTTCCTTTAAATTTGTGAAATACAATCTCCTTTCTAGCTTCATATTTTAGGAAAAAATCCTAAAGACCTGCATCATTTAGAAGTACATTAAATATAATTTTAAGAAAACACTAACACTGCCTGTTTTAACATGGCTACCACCTATCCGTACCCAGTATGTTTCTCAGTTTTCATATTTTTTTCCAACCATGTTGAGAACATTTGTAAGTGATCCTCATTGCTTGGGCAGTAAGTATTTTCAATTTTATTTATTATTTATTTCATATTATTTGTTAATTTTTTTCACATAAATTCACAGTATTTCTTTTTGCTCCCTTTATATTAATTTTTCAATATTCTCCTCCTTGCTAGAGACCCACTGAAGATGGGAAATGTGTTTTCCCGAAAGTTAATTCTGGGAATGAAATTATTAATAAAATTACTATACTTTATTGTGGCCAATTATTTCCTTTCTCACATTATGGATTACTACAAGATATCTGATACCACCACAAATTTAACACTGCCTTGTTATTTTCTCTGTGGCTAATAAAATGAAAAGTCCTATAACTGCAAACCTGTTAAGTGAGAATAATTAAAATTACTGCAGAAAGGAAGAAACAGAAATGTCACGTGTCAAAAGCTGAAACACTGCTCAATCACTAATACTGGAGCTAGGTGTAACCCTAGTGATGACAACTTTCAGAAAATGTTCAAAACAATTTCATGGTTTTTTGGTCTATGCGATAAAAAATATACTAGAGGTGAATTTATTACTCATAAATTGTGTTCCAATATTGTCTCCATCTGTTTTCCAAGACATGAAAAACGAACATTTCTTAGTTGTAAGAAGAGCATCCCTGTAGTTTGAAATGCGTGCTTCACGCCAGCTACGGAAGAAGAAGTTCGCTAGTGCAGGAGTTGCGTGATCTACTACAACTTGAAAAAAAGTTTCTTTCACACGCAAGCCGTTCCTGTCACCGCCCGTTTCTTTGAAGTTACAAGTGAATTTTCAGTTAACTTGTAGAAACTGCAGCAATCACGTTTCACAATCATATTAGTAATCACTAATAGTTACAAGTGAAATTCTATAAGAAACAAATGTTTCAGTTTCTCAGAACTTACTAGTAGTCTAATACAATTATAAATGAGCAGTATTTTGTTACAAGCCTACGGATACGTATATGTTTGAAAGATTTACTATTATAAGTGATGATATTTTCATATTTGTTCATTCATAGGCATTTAGAATGTGGAAATAGCAGTTTTTTCCTATTAGTTATAGTGAATTGGTAAGTGCCTTATGCTCTAGAATTTTCTCCAAAACGTACATCTTGTTGCCTCTAAATGCTATTGTGATGAAACGTAAGAATAAAATAGAAAAGTAAGAATAATATATAGGATGTAAGTCGAAGGAAAGTTCAAGAGAAAATGGAGTAATTTTAAAACGAATGAAGAAAATATATTATTTATAAACAGAATTCTGAACTTGAAATAAAAAGGAAGGGCAGAAGTAAAAAGAAATAGAATTGGCAGTAAAAATTAAGGCTAAAACAAACAACGCCAGACAACAAAACATATGCACGGAAAACTATAAGACAAAGACGCGAGACAGACACAAAAATCACAGACAGACAGAGACTCAATTTCAAGGAAAGCGAAAACGCTCATTTTATTCTAATAATAATAATAATAATAATAATAATAATAATAATAATAATAATAATAATAATAATAATTTATTGAGTCACATATACAATTACAATCGCGAATGACGAGTCAAATATGATGTATGTGGGGGGGAATACAATTGCGCACATCTTCATGAGTGCAGAGACATGGTGAAAATAACACATGGTGTTATTTCTACGTGCAGAGAGTGAAGTTACATTTATTGTCCAGAAGTAAAGCAAGGGGCCATCTCAGCATTTACTCTCAATATTTCCTTGGCTCAAAGGACGGAGTAGAATTGCACTGTGGGTAATCCACCTGTGGGCATTCCACAGGACATTCACTTGTATCCACAAGCCTTGTAAAAACCTTTGTGAAGCAGAACTTCTTGTGATTACTAGCAACTTGTAACTTGTAACTCGTAAACTTTGTGAAATGGGCCCCAGCAACCAGGAAGGTTGGACAGTGGTGAGACATTGTATTGTAAGCCTGTGACATATTGCTGTACGTCTCCTAGAAAACAAACTCTTTACTACAGGTCAGTCAATTTCAAGTGGTCCACAATTGAATAAAATGGTCGCTCAACCACAATCTAAAAAAAATTGTTTGTTTTGGTGGTTCAAAACATCTTTAATTTTATTGGATTGGATGGCAACATGGATTACAAATGGCAACCATTTTTATCGTACACTGTGCCCCCTTTTTTTCGCGTTTACTCTTTTCTAAATTACTCAGCTCTGGGTTGTGTTAACATTCTAGAATAAAAAGTATTGGATTCAGTATACTCTGGTCTACAAGTCGAAGTATTATTTACATACCTTCTATGTTTTTATTGGGGAAATATTTGGCATACTTTATTGGCACAATTTGGAAGCAAATACAAGAGAAATTCAAAGGCAATAATTGATTTAGTCTGAAACTAATAACAACATTACTGTTAATTTGATGGTTTACCAGTAAACTTCAACACCCTAATTTGCAACAAAACTGTATATGATAGAGTCAATTTTTTATTTCAGCACCCCATAAAACATCAGAATTAGTCAATATCTCCAATGCAGTTTTTCTTGGTTGCAAACTATTCATGTTGTTCAATCACTCTACAAATTCATGAATAACATAATCATAAAAAGCCAATTTGTCATAAAGAAAGATTTCCTCCTCCAAAGACAATTTCATCAAGCCTGCACTGTTTGAACGTTCTTGGGACACTGGATTATTGCTTTTCAAATGACACACCAAACAAGTGGTTCAAACATCAGCCTTTGAAGTCTCCAATCACATGGGCTTGCCTCAGCAAGACAGCCACTAACTTATCTTTGACAAGTGATATATTGTCTGCCATGAAGAAAAGTATTCCAGGAGAAAAAATAGATGAACTTACCGCAGACCCCTTTGGTCAAGTCGTTGCACAACAGCTGGTTTTATGCGAGATCTGCCTCCTGAACTGCGAGCTCCTCTTCCAGTGATAACAAAAACAGGTACTGACCGATGACTCGACTCCAGAAGTTGATGTATGTGATGGTCCAAAAACATGTCCAATACTTGAAGAGCTTCCACTACATACAAAAAATGAAGATCCAGAGTGGTGCTCAAATTGCCCAACGAATGGGCAAGCAACAAACTAGATGCTGCTCTGGCATTATTTTCTTCTATTCTTTCTTTGTGTAATGATGCCTAAATGAAAAATTACACAGTATTAACTTCAACATACGAAAGCTTACATCAAAATTATTTCTTCCCTCATTAAAGATTTATCACATAAAAATAAAACAAAAATGATGGAAAATTCGGAATTCAAATTCTTTGTTTATTAAATAATTAACATCATTGTCTGTTTTATATCTTCTATTCTAGTATACTTGGGCTTTTTGAAAAATCAAAACATGAAACTACAGTAACCATTCATTCATAATGTGCCGGAAAAGTTCAATAACGTTTTGCGTACTAATGGTTCATCAAGTGCCTTTAAGACCCAAAAATAAATACAAGAAAAAACTACCAATTTTTAATAAGACTTCATCACAATTAAAAATACAACAAATAAAATTATGCAAGACAAAAGCTAGTAAAAATACTCCCAGGAAGAGGTCATTACGACATTAATTAAAAGAAAAATATGTTAAGAGATGATAGAGAAATCTTACAGCATTCTTTTGAACACAATATTATAAAATAAATATTCTTTGATATGCATTTTTGAGGTAAATAGACAGACTACATCGACCATTTTCAAGGACAACCGTCCTAGTGAAACAGAAAATTTTGACCAGTGTATTATCATTAAATTTCACTGTTGGCTGAATTGATATTCCACTTGAATTTCCAAAAATTTGAAAATTGACTACTATTACAAAATTGAAGTTATAGATTTTTCCTTCAAGTAAAATTCAGGTAAAAGCTGAATGTTCAAAAATTATCAAAAAACTGTAATGGACCTATCATGTTCCCATTAAAGTAATTTTGTCAAATAAAAACAATTTTTCATGACCAATTTTGCAATAAAATTGCTCACAGTTCTGAATCCTTTCAATAAGCAAGGATGAAATTTTGTAGGCACAATTTATGTATAGTACACGTATCTAGAATTTTGGTTTTTGAAAATCGAAAAAAGGAGATGACCCATTTTCACATTCGGTTTACTAAGATTTTTACCCAATTATGCCCTTAGTGACCTTGAAAAATGTTTGTAGTGCAATTTTTGTTGCTTGACATCAGTAGATAGGGTTAAAAAAATTTTAGATGAAACTTTATCTATACAGTTGTAGCTTGGAATTTTTTAATATTTTAATATTTTGTTGGCCATTTTGCCAGAGAATGTTCCAAAAGATAATATCAAACTGAAAAGAAAATTATAAATGAACATCAACTCAGTATTTTCAAGACATACTATAAAAGTACGGCTAGTATGGACCGCATAGATCAGGATATCAGCATTTTTGGGATGCATAAAGGAAGTAAATAATGATATTAGGCATTTTGACTGATAATTCTGTAACTAAACTTATTTTCGGGAGAAAAATTGTGCAAACATATCTATCACTTTATAAAACTCCCATAAAATCGCTGAGTGGAGCAGCTTCCCAAGCACCAAGGAGCACAGAAGTTCAGCAGATATAAGACATGATTACCTTGACCATGTAACGTAGAAAATAAAAAAACATCAGCATTGTGCTTAAGAGGGCTGATCTAGTGTTATAAATACTAAGTGCTCTAAATACAACATACAACTTTTTGTCAAGTGCAATGTTCATTACCACATGAAATAGTCTAACATTTTCTCAACGACATTTTTTTTCAGAATACTAATGAGTTCACTTTTAATTGTTTGAACTTTGTAATAATAATTAAACTATTCAATATTAGATATAAAAGATGTTATATTATTCGCCTTCGTCTGTCAGCTTCTTGAGCAAAAAATTATCACAGAGAACTAGCGTGACGTTAATGTCACATGCTCCTTAATTTAGAAAACAAATTTTTAGCATTTTTCTCGTCAGAAGATTACAAAAAATTTCATTGCATAAGAAAAAACATAAATTTTACAAAGTATCAATGCCCGACCTTGGAGGATTAATTTAAAAATGCTTGGTTTGTTTCATTTAATACTTTGAAATGTGTATTTTATTGTTCTGAAAATAACTTTTTCAAAAAAATTAATATTTCATGAACTTGATCAGATACAAATTTGAAAAAAAAATATAAGCATATTTCGTATTATATTTTCTATAAAACACAACAAGAAAAAGGTACTGTACATATATAATTCTGAAAAGTCAATTGTAAATATGAGGGCGCTCTCTCCCTAACAATGCACCAATAACGAATTGTGTTAGGTCAATCTTAGATTCCAGTGCTGAAGAACTATAAAAAGAATGACCGTCTGCCTGAGTAGGTCTTCAAGAAATATTAGTATCTTAATGTTCACACTGTCTCCCAGAAGGGATGGGTGACAGCAAAACGATCTTAACTGCTGGGACCCTTTACATCTTAGGAATGGGGCACACTCCTGACCTAGCTCGTAAAATTCTACAGACCATTTGTTAAGGGACATGAAACTAACAAATACCAATGTAACTCTTGGCATTTTACTAAAAATATAACAATATCTTTATTACTACCAAATTCCATGTGAATTTTTTTATAAATTTTTTCTTTTGTTTTATTTCTTTGTTTGGTTCTCTATTCTTTCTTTACTAATTATGAAATGTGATACATCATTATGTAACATTTTTCTACAATTAACTTTGTTCGAAGGTTTCTTTCCATACATTAAAAAAAACAAAAAACAACAACCTCTGTTATTAAATTAACTACATAAACAGTTGAGAATACAAACCATTTGAGAATAATATGATGCAGCAGCTGTAAGTCCCCGTTGGTAAGCACTCTGAGCTTTCCTCTGACATTCATTTCGAAGATCATAGTGTCTACTTGCTTCCGACCGAAAGTAGTTAGCATCTTTTAAAGCTTGTTCTTGTGAAACTTCATCACCCTCCATTGAGTATGGTCGCACATTCTCCTTGTTCTGCAGAAAGAAATGCTATTGAGCACAATAAAATGCATTATCAAAAAACCAGAGAATATGATTTCTGGCATTCATGGACAACCATAACTCCTACAATTAAAAGTCATATCACATAAAAAGAGCTTAACTTTTGGAATAAAATTGCATTGTACATTTCATAGCAGTATGTGAAAGTACCTTTTCGCCTTCCAAGTTTGCTTTCTCAAGCAAAGCCTTTTCATGAGCTGCACGTGCTTCAGGAGACATTACAATGCGCACTGAATTGTCTTCTTCAGTCGAAGCTAGCAAAACTTCCAATGTTTCCTCAAAGGAATGATTGTGAGCCTCAAACACATTGACAAGGACATCCTTCGGGAGAGAAGGAAACCACTCACATAGCAAGTTCTTTGTCAGTTTGGTAGCAAGATCTTCCTTAGTTTCAGGACTATTTTGTTTCTGGGGGAAAAAAAGGCAAATAACTTAAATAATACATACTTCATACATATTTTTAGTAAATACACTCATTGTAGAACAAAAAAATTAGAAATTAAAAAAAAGGTTACATTAGTTTCATCAATCTTTAGATTCTTTATACAATACCAGCCCAGACATTTCCTTGTGATTTATTTCAAGGAAAATGTAGAAAATAAAATGTGATTTTTTACACCTTCACTCAAATTACCTGAATCACAGTCATCAGAAAATAACAATATCTACAAACATATCTCAACTTCAGACTTTTCAAGTTACGAAAAGTGTCATGACAACTGCCAATTCTCTAAAAATTGATATTCTTACCACTTCATGGTTGCTTATATTATTAGTTGCTGTGTATATATTTTTGGCGAGGGGCCCTGACTGGTTTATGTTGCTGGAGCGACCGCTCCGCTCAGATGCGCTCCGTGAAGAGCTGCGTACGTGTTGGAGCGTCCGCTCCGCGCGATGCGGAGTAATCTCCCCTGATTATGCAAACTGCTATGCCGACCGCTACCGCTCATCTTTGCCAGTCACGTGTCTACGTCTATTATGACCATCTATTACTACTTTTTGACTGAATAAATCTAAACTTTCCTACGACCCGCAAGTGTTTGGGGGAAGACATAGCGCGCATGCGCCTGGCAGGCTTCAACATTAACGACGCCAACTGTACGCTCTCCCCTACTGGCTTCGTAAGTTTCTAGGCGTTTGGCTCAGCTTGGAAGATAAGAGCGTAACCGTCGCCCGTATTTACCTGCGGTCCAACGGCCGCCTACCTACACTACCCTCGCCTGGCGCGCTCGCTGAGCGGCATGGTAGCGTGGCTTTCCATAGCATCAACCACTAGCTTGCCGCTCGCCCGCGCCATTCGCCTATGGCCCCGGCAGATGACGCCCTGGCTCCAGCACCTGTTCCAGCGCCCCCGATGTCGACAAACCAAGAAGATATCGTCTATGCAGATACGACCTTGCACACCTGTGCCTGGTGGTGCGACGGGCATACCTTTGCCTGGCCCGCACCTACTACTTACAGTATATTTGAAAATTAACTTTATGCAGCCTTCTTTTCAGTATTATGTTTTCACGACTTTTTATATATTTCCTGTTATGTGATATATGACTTCTGTATGTAACATTTCTAAAAGAGTCCATCGCTGTGTCAGACACTTTTACCACGTACAATGTTTCGAAATATTGGACTTAGACAATTAGATTTTTCAGCGTCGGCCCGAGTTAACGCGACACGCCGTTTCAGCGGCGTCGAGGTAAGGCGCACGGCGAGTTAACTCGGAGGGCCAGAGTACTTTTTAGTTTGTTATATACGTACGTATATACGGAGTAATATACACTTGGGTTTGAGTAAATTGCAAGACCCAAAAGGAAAGGAATCACTTAAACATCGGTGGATGTGTAGAACAGTATACCCATAACAAGTGATTCAATTTGCATAGAAATGGCGTGCACCTTGGCCTAGCAGCACCCTCTTTTGTGTCAGAGGTCAGGTCAGTGTTACGCCACACACAGGCAGTGCAGAGCCGTCAACCCACGTGGAAACGTGCAAGTGACTGTATACCTCGTCGGCACCAAAAGACGCAATATCAGCAGCTGCGCGAGTACGAACGGGGCAGAACGACCGGTCTCTACGAAGCGGGTTTGTGGTGCCGTGACATTCCAGCTCGAACGGGGGCGACCGTGATGCGTGTGTGGAACCATCGGGTATAGGAGGGTCGCATACAGCGACGAGCGGGTACTGGACCATACAATGTGACCACAGTGCGAGATGACCGCCATCTCCGCACGGCCGTAACCGACAGAACGACGTCGTCTGCTGAGAGCTGGACTGGTGGCATGCATTCCATAGCGTCGAATTCTGTTGATTAGACAGCAACAACGCCTCAGACAGCAATGGGAACGTGTACTAAGTGACAAAATGTGATTTTCGGACGAGTGCCGTTTCAGTTTGAGCTACAGCTATGGCCGCTACCGTGATGATCGCAATCTGCCCGCCAGCATTCACGCCATAGCGGACATTGGACATTGGAAATTTAATATTTTGCGACATTTAAGAACAAAATAGGCTCTTTCATTTGATGTGTATATTGAATTCAATACATTAAAAAAAATTGTTTTGATCTTTTTTTAATTTCTCCCAGTCAAGAGTTTAAACATTTGAAACAAATACCATTGAAATCTCTGAAAAATTTAATAAGTTACAAAGTGAGACATCGAGATGATTCTGAAAAATTAAATACAATATAAATGTCCACTAGCGGTTTTGCTGCGGCGTCTGCTAGAGATTCACCCCTCAAGCACGTGTCAATCAGAAAACGATTATCATCAATATACTTTTACAGAACAATAAATAGAAGTATCACTTCACATCTTAGTATGTGATGACCTTCATAGTCCATTAAACTCAAATGGAAAGGTGTCTCAAGGATTCGATTTAGTATTAAACGGACGGAATATTTATACGAATAAGAGTAGGTGATACAAATAATTACGTTGATATTTCTTTTACTTCACTTTACAGAGAATATCGTTAGTTTACCTTTTCATAAAAAATTAAACTATATTTTCTTGGTGCCTTCTACTGTTTTTTATTGTATCATTGGTCAATTGGTTTATTGTATGAGTAAGTACTGATCAGCGTGGATAAAATTATAAAGGTAATGTTCTTCACGTTATCATCAGCCCACTTAAATAACTTTCTTGGTAAATTATATGTTCCTGTCAGGATTGAAGGTTAGCTTTTATCGAGAATATTACAAAATAGCTTCAAATTTCGCATTTACAGTAACACTTAACGTCATTTTCTTAGAATCTGAGAATATTGTAATGTAGAGCAATGTGGCCGCCGGACCCCACAAGTCAAGAGGCCGGCGAGGGGGCAGGGGTGACCTTCTGGTGTCAGGATGAAGGCCATCAAAGCTCCGGACCCGCTCGAAGGGTGCGGCCGGGGCGTGGTCTAGGAACGCGCGTCAGCTGGCGAGGGGGATGGTGCGCGACGACAGCCGCGGCCGGCACTTGACGGCTAGCCCGTTTGTAAGCGGGCCCAAAAGGCGGTTCGGGTGCATGGGAGGTCGGCCACGTGATTCCTCGCGACAGTGGCTGGCGAAGGAGCTGTGGCGTCCGATTTGGGCCCCGCGAGGGGAGAATCGAAAGCGGCGGCTTGCGAGGGTGGCTGTTCGCCACGGGACTAGAGGCCAGGAGCGGCGCTAAGATTGAGTACGCTGTGGCTGCGTCAGACTGGGGCGCCTCTCCTCAGGCACTTGCAGTGCTGCGGAGGGTAGCGATAGTTTCCAGGGGCGTGTAAATATTGTATAGTAATGTAAAATCTTATTAAAACTGACTGTGTGTTTCACTCACATCACGACGTCACAATATCGATTTTGGAGAAAATCGGCTGAACAGTTTAGCTGCTGGCGTTGTTCACAGATGAACGGACAGGCACGTTTTACCGTCAATCGAATTTTCGGTGGCAAGGACCAACAAAACATGGATTCTGGCTACACTACGTGTTAGAGAATTTTTTTTCTAAATTTAGCGATTTATTCACACATTCGATTCCAAGGCCCTGTAAGAAATGCTTTTCAATCGAAATGTTGACTTTTTTTACGTGCAGCATTACATAACTTTCTCTTCTTAAGAGCGAGAAAGTAAAAATGTAACACTAGAGAAAAGTTGCGAGTAACACACGGTTTCCTGCCACCTGGGGATCGACAACAGTGGCAGTTGTCAATGGCTGTTGATTGCAAGCAATCCACAAATAAAACAGATACATGAAATTTTATTTATATAACGAGAAAACATCAGTGTGTCTGGACACTATATATAATATACGCTGCATATACAATGAAATATCATGTGACTTTATTGAGCTGATTACAATATGGGATGAATAAAACAAGGCCGTTGGCAGGTGGAAAGTTTGCGCCAAGTTCGTAGTGTCGCACCTCCTCTGGCTTCAATGCATGCTCTTATGCGGAATGGTGTCTTATCGGAATAGTGTCAAGCAGGCTTTCAATCCTCCCTTGAGTTCATATGGCGGCTGTTCCTCCATATTGGATTGCAGGTTGGTACTGCGACGAAGTCCCCTTCCAATGTCATCCCACACGTGTTCACTGATGGAGAAGTCCGGCGATCTTGCTGGCCACAGAAGGACCTCAAAATGCTCTAGACAGTCCACAGACGCACGTGCTGTGTGGGGGCGTTCATTATCTTTTGGAACACTGTTCCACAGTGCTGTGCCATAAGGGTAGGACGTGCGGACGCAGAATATCTATGACGTATCGCTGTGACGTCAAAGTTTGTCGAAGCACTATTAGAGCTAATTTGAACACAAAACTGATGCCTGCGTGACTCTCCACATTTAGGGTAGGCACAACACCAATCCAAACGCCGGCGTCGGTGTTCCGGTGTCAATGGCAACCGACACATGGGGCGTTGGGACCCCAATCCGGCGGATACGAGTCAATGCGGAAGACCTCAAAGGATGTTGCAGAGTCGCCAGTACAGGTTCATGGATGGCGGGTGCCGACGTCATGGGATTTCGCACTGCTTGGCAGTCCTCCCTGGGGGTTAGGTTTCTTGGTCAACTTAAGCTTGCACGGCGTGCATGGGCGCCCTCATGAACCTATTGATTACATCTGCCACTGTGACATCTGAATGGTCTATACGCCTCTCAATTGCACGACCAACCAGCCTCAAAGTCCCACACTGCGGCATCTGTCAGATGCAATCAATTTTTGGATAGGCTGTCGAACGCGTCTGCGTGGCATCGTGGATGCTTCGAACTGTAGGTAAACATCGTTATTCACTGTCTCAAAGCAGTAGACTGATAACGCCCAACAGGGTGGTGACATCACGAATGCACTCTGGTGGGCGTTCTACACATCACAGATACGTATGAATTTAATCATTTACTGACACATCAACGCATGTACAAGCTGTCCAAAAAGTCATGAAATATATATATAT